ACCACCTTCTTTCTCCCCCTCCTTTTTCCTGACCTCTCCTCTCCTCTCTCCTCTCACACTCTCATTCTCGCTATCGCTCTTTTCCTGACTCTCTCTCTCTTTTCTCACACCTCATTCTCGCTATCGCTCTCTTCCTGACCCTTTTCCTCTTCTCTCACTCTCATTCTCGCTATCGCTCTCTTCCTGACTCTCTCTCTCTCTCTCACACTCTCATTCTCGCTATCGCTCTCTTCCTGACCCTCTCTCTCTCTCTCACTTCATTCTCGCTATCGCTCTCTTCCTGACCCTTTTCTCTCTCTCTCTCTCTCTCTAAACTCTCATTCTCGCTATCGCTCTCTTCCTGACTCTCTCTCTCTCTCACACTCTCATTCTCGCTAGCGCTCTCTTCCTGACCCTCTTTTTCTCTCTCTCTCTCTCTCTATCGTTTCTCTTCCTACCCTCTCTCTCTCTTCACACTCTCTTTTCTCGCTATCGCTCCCCTTCCTGACTCTCTCTCTCTCACACTCATTCTCGCTATCGCTCTCTTCCTGACCCTCTCCCTCTCTCTCTCTCTCTCTCATACTCTCATTCTCGCTATCGCTCTCTTCCTGACTCTCTCTCTCTCTCTCTCTCTCTCACACTCTCATTCTCGCTATCGCTCTCTTCCTGACTCTCTCTCTCTCTCACACTCTCATTCTCGCTAGCGCTCTCTTCCTGACCCTCTCTCTCTCTCTCTCTCTCTCTCTCTCTCTCTCCACACTCTCATTCTCGCTAGCGCTCTCTTCCTGACCCTCTCCTCTCTCTCTCTCTCTCTCTCTCTCTCTCACACTCTCATTCTCTCTATCGCTCTCTTCCTGACTCTCTCTCTCTCACACTCTCATTCTCGCTATCGCTCTCTTCTTGACCCTCTCCCTCTCTCTCTCTCACCTCGACTAACCCCCCCCCACCCTTCCTAATCTCATAATGTTATACTCTCGTAACCAGGGGCAACCCTTGCTTGTGTCAGCTGATCCCTTGCTTGTGTCAGTGTTTGTCAGCTGATGTGTGTCCAGTGTCTGTTTTAGTACGCAATAAAACCAAAGAGGCCTAACAAGGGAGGTATTATCCCCGCCACCTAAACTAGGGTCCCAAATGGTACCCTATTCCCTACATAGTGCACTACATTTGACCAGAGTCCAATCGGCCCTGTAGTGCCCTATGTAGGGAATAGGGTACCATTTGGAACGCATCCTAGATAAGAGCCCTGTAACACTGCGAGGTCAATCGGAAAGTTTGATACAAATGTGTACTGTACCGTTATTCTCTATTGGTGTCGCACTGAAATAAATTGTCTAACCCTCGTCTGCTTGAAAGAAAACGTTGACAAGGGATGATCAGAAGAATAAAAGAACATCTACCATTGGCTATGGGTTTCTGCCCTCTGTACTGTCAGTGTGTATTATTAACCCTGTGTATCTGTGTGACGTAAGGAGCAGTGGGATAAATGATTCACCAATGGCACCCAATTTCCCTTTTGGGCTCTGGTCTAAAGTAGTGCACTATATAGGGAATAGGGTGCCATTCTCTGGTCTAAAGTAGTGCACTATATAGGGAATAGGGTGCCATTCTCTGGTCTAAAGTAGTGCACTATATAGGGAATAGGGTGCCATTCTCTGGTCTAAAGTAGTGCACTATATAGGGAATAGGGAGCCATTCTCTGGTCAAAAGTAGTGCACTATGTAGGGAATAGGGTGCCATTCTCTGGTCAAAAGTAGTGCACTATATAGGGAATAGGGTGCCATTCTCTGGTCTAAAGTAGTGCACTATATAGGGAATAGGGTGCCATTCTCTGGTCAAAAGTAGTGCACTATATAGGGAATAGGGTGCCATTCTCTGGTCTAAAGTAGTGCACTATATAGGGAATAGGGTGCCATTCTCTGGTCTAAAGTAGTGCACTATATAGGGAATAGGGTGCCATTCTCTGGTCAAAAGTAGTGCACTATATAGGTAATAGGGTGCCATTCTCTGGTCTAAAGTAGTGCACTATATAGGGAATAGGGTTGGCCATTCTCTGGTCTAAAGTAGTGCACTATATAGGGAATAGGGTGCCATTCTCTGGTCAAAAGTAGTGCACTATATAGGTAATAGGGTGCCATTTCTCTGGTCTAAAAGTAGTGCACATATAGGGAATAGGGTGCCATTCTCTGCGTCTAAGTAGTGCACTGATATGGGGAATAGGTGTGCCATTCTCTGGTCTAAAGTAGGCACTATATAGGGAATAGGGTGCCATTCTCTGGTCTAAAGTAGTGCACTATATATGGAATAGGGTGCCATTCTATGGTCTAAAGTAGTGCACTATATAGGGAATAGGGTTGCCATTCTCTGGTTCTAAAGTAGTGCACTATATAGGGAATAGGGTGCCATTCTCTGGTCTAAAGTAGTGCACTATATAGGGAATAGGTGCCATTCTTGGTCTAAAGTAGTGCACTATATAGGGAATAGGGTGCCATTCTCTGGGTCCAAAAGTAGTGCACTAATAGGGAATAGGGTTGGCCATTCTCTGGTCTAAAGTAGTGCACTATATAGGGAATAGGGTGCCATTCTCTGGTCTAAAGTAGTGCACTATATAGGGAATAGGGTGCCATTCTCTGGTCTAAAGTAGTGCACTATATAGGGAATAGGGTGCCATTCTCTGGTCTAAAGTAGTGCACTATATAGGGAATAGGGTGCCATTCTCTGGTCTAAAGTAGTGCACTATATAGGGACTAGGGTGCCATTCTTGGTCTAAAGTAGTGCACTATATAGGGAATATGGTGCCATTCTCTGGTCTAAAGTAGTGCACTATATAGGGAATAGGGTGCCATTCTCTGGTCTAAAGTAGTGCACTATATAGGGAATAGGGTGCCATTCTCTGGTCTAAAGTAGTGCACTATATAGGGAATAGGGTGCCATTCTCTGGTCTAAAGTAGTGCACTATATAGGGAATAGGGTGCCATTCTCTGGTCTAAAGTAGTGCACTATATAGGGAATAGGGTGCCATTCTCTGGTCTAAAGTAGTGCACTATATAGGGAATAGGGTGCCATTCTCTGGTCTAAAGTAGTGCACTATATAGGGAATAGGGTGCCATTCTCTGGTCTAAAGTAGTGCACTATATAGGGAATAGGGTGCCATTCTCTGGTCTAAAGTAGTGCACTATATAGGGAATAGGGTGCCATTCTCTGGTCTAAAGTAGTGCACTATATAGGGAATAGGGTGCCATTCTCTGGTCTAAAGTAGTGCACTATATAGGGAATAGGGTGCCATTCTCTGGTCAAAAGTAGTGCACTATATAGGGAATAGGGTGCCATTCTCTGGTCTAAAGTAGTGCACTATATAGGGAATAGGGTGCCATTCTCTGGTCTAAAGTAGTGCACTATATAGGGAATAGGGTGCCATTCTCTGGTCTAAAGTAGTGCACTATATAGGGAATAGGGTGTCATTCTCTGGTCTAAAGTAGTGCACTATATAGGGAATAGGGTGCCATTCTCTGGTCTAAAGTAGTGCACTATATAGGGACTAGGGTGCCATTCTCTGGTCTAAAGTAGTGCACTATATAGGGAATATGGTGCCATTTTCTGGTCTAAAGTAGTGCACTATATAGGGAATAGGGTGCCATTCTCTGGTCTAAAGTAGTGCACTATATAGGGAATAGGGTGCCATTCTCTGGTCTAAAGTAGTGCACTATATAGGGAATAGGGTGCCATTCTCTGGTCTAAAGTAGTGCACTATATAGGGAATAGGGTGCCATTCTATGGTCTAAAGTAGTGCACTATATAGGGAATAGGGTGCCATTCTCTGGTCTAAAGTAGTGCACTATATAGGGAATAGGGTGCTATTTGGGACGCTGACCCTTTCACTAGCCAGCCATACCCCAAGTCGACTGACAGTTTTTTAAAGGCCTTTTAAATCAGGCCTCAAACAGGATCGCCTTCCTCTGATCACATTACACACACACCCTGGGTCTGCCAAGAGGTTCCTTACCCTGTGTGTGTGTGTGTGTGTGTGTGTGTGTGTGTGTGTGTGTGTGTGTGTGTGTTCCTACTGGAGGTGTGAAAGCCAGATCTCTGCTGCATCACTGGCACTGGTAGAAAAGTCACCTTCCTTGTCTACTCTACCAGTGGATGACAGCTGGTCACACCAGTGGGAAGAGAACATGACCGAAAATAGAAACATGACTCACTCATGAATGATTTCTCTGTTAACGCGCTGACATCACACTTGTCTCGGTCAAAACAGGTGCCCAGCACAGTCTTCCATTCACAAACATTTACAATCTGATCAAATGGCGGCGTTGAGGAGGGCACACGTCTTGCCAGTTCTGGCTCGACTTTACTTTTTGTATGTCTGTTTTTGCATTAATTATTATTATTGCAGCGATACAGTTTTCTTCTATATACAGCACCAGTCAACAGTTTGGACACACCTACTCATTCCAGGGATTTCCTTTATTTTTTACTATTTTCTACATTGTAGAATAATAGTGAAGACAATAAAAAGAAAATATATTTTGATTTGTTTAACACTTTTTTGGTTACTACATGATTCCATGTGTGTTATTTCATAGTTTTGATGTCTTCACTATTATTCTACAATGTAGAAAACAGTCTAAATAAAGGAAAACCCTTGAATGAGTAGGTGGGTCCAAACCTTTTGACTGGTGCTGTAAGTCAAACAAAACCGACCAAACAATGGCGCAAATCTACACATTCATACAAAGTAATATGTAATGCATTACTTTCCTTGCATGTTGTAACGTGGTTAGACAATTGATTCACTGATTATGGATATGTCATTTTTGACCGAAATCAAAAACTTGTGATATCAACATTCTCTCTCTCTCTCTCTCTCTCTCTGTCTCTCTGTCTCTCTCTGTCTCTGTCTCTCTCTCTGTGTGTGTCCCCAGATCATGTTCTGTACGTTGAACACCCATAAGATCGACATGGAGAAGCTGCTTGGTGGACAGATCGGCCTGGAGGACTTTATATTCGCCCACATTAAAGGGATTAAGAAGGAGGTGGAGGTGTTTAAATCAGAGGACGCCCTGGGCCTCACCATCACAGACAACGGGGCGGGATACGCCTTCATCAAGGTAGGATTTTGTTTAAATATCAAAATATTGATGTTATTGAGATAGGACGGTGAAGAGGAGACAGGAAAGGTAGGAGAGTTTGCGAGTCAGAATGGATTCCATCCCGACACTGATAGCCTTTAGATGTGCCGGGGTCCGAAGTACTAACTAGGCAACATCAAGGTAGGATCCAATCAATCCATAAAATCCATCAACCAATAAAATCTATCAATTGAATTGCAACTCATCTATTATAGAAGGTTAAATCGTTAAAATCACAGGGCTGTCACTTCTATTAGGCGGCTATTAGAGATGATAGTTATATGATCAGGAGTCAGGAGTCAATTATGTAGTAAAGCAAACCAATCGTTGATCTAGTTTAGTAATACAGTGGGGGGGGGGGGGGGGGGGAGTATTTGATCCCCTGCTGATTTTGTACGTTTGCCCACTGACAAAGACATGATCTGTCTATAATTTTCATGGTAGGTTTATTCGAACAGTGAGAGACAGAATAATAACAAAAAAATCCAGAAAAACGCATGTCAAAAATGTTACAAATTGATTTGCATTTTAATGAGGGAAATAAGTATTTGACCCCCTCTCAATCAGAAAGATTTCTGGCTCTCAGGTGTCTTTTATACAGGTAACGAGCTGAGATTAGGAGCACACTTTTAAAGGGAGTGCTCCTAATCTCAGTTTGTTACCTGTATAAAAGACACCTGTCCACAGAAGCAATCAATCAATCAGATTCCAAACTCTCCACCATGGCCAAGACCAAAGAGCTCTCCAAGGATGTCAGGGACAAGATTGTAGACCTACACAAGGCTGGAATGGGCTACAAGACCATCGCCAAGCAGCTTGGTGAGAAGGTGACAACAGTTGGTGCGATTATTCGCAAATGGAAGAAACACAAAATAACTGTCAATCTCCCTCGGCCTGGGGCTCCATGCAAGATCTCACCTCGTGGAGTTGCAATGATCATGAGAACGGTGAGGAATCAGCCCAGAACTACACGGGAGGATCTTGTCAATGATCTCAAGGCAGCTGGGACCATAGTCACCAAGAAAACAATTGGTAACACACTACGCCGTGAAGGACTGAAATCCTGCAGCGCCCGCAAGGTCCCCCTGCTCAAGAAAGCACATATACAGGGCCGTCTGAAGTTTGCCAATGAACATCTGAATGATTCAGAGGAGAACTGGGTGAAAGTGTTGTGGTCAGGTGAGACCAAAATCGAGCTCTTTGGCATCAACTCAACTCGCCGTGTTTGGAGGAGGAGGAATGCTGCCTATGACCTCAAGAACACCATCCCCACCGTCAAACATGGAGGTGGAAACATTATGCTTTGGGGGCGTCTTTCTGCTAAGGGGACAGGACAACTTCACCGCATCAAAGGGACGATGGACGGGGCCATGTACCGTCAAATCTTGGGTGAGAACCTCCTTCCCTCAGCCAGGGCATTGAAAATGGGTCGTGGATGGGTATTCCAGCATGACAATGACCCAAAACACACGGCCAAGGCAACAAAGGAGTGGCTCAAGAAGAAGCACATTAAGGTCCCGGAGTGGCCTAGCCAGTCTCCAGACCTTAATCCCATAGAAAATCTGTGGAGGGAGCTGAAGGTTCGAGTTGCCAAACGTCAGCCTCAAAACCTTAATGACTTGGAGAAGATCTGCAAAGAGGAGTGGGACAAAATCTCTCCTGAGATGTGTGCAAACCTGGTGGCCAACTACAAGAAATGTCTGACCTCTGATTGCCAACAAGGGTTTTGCCACCAAGTACTAAGTCATGTTTTGCAGAGGGGTCAAATACTTTTTTCCCTCACTGTACCTTACCTTGGTCTTAGGGCTGGTTTTATGATCAAAGTTTTCCACCATCTTGTATAGAGAGCAACAATAATGGCGTCTTTTTCTAGGCACTAACAGAGGCACATTTCGTTTCTTTATTTCCACTTTTTTGAATATCTGTTCTTTTATTTCCACTTTTTTGAAGCCCCATTATCAAAGAGAAGCCTTTCAACTTATAGAACGTTGTTTCCCGTTTTATATTTTCTGCCCATTATATCTTAATCTTTCCCTCTTTAGATCTTTAATGGTATCACCTGTAGGAATAAATAATGAATTATACAAAGTTCTTAAAACAATTAATTAGTTGGAACTGATTTATGGTTAGACAATTGATTCACTGATTATGGATATGTCATTTTTGTCCGAAATCAAATATTGGGGAAGATGCCAGAGCTGAGGATGATGTTAAAGAGTTTAAGTATAGCCAATTGGAATTTGTGGTCTGTATATTTTATTATTTCATTGAGGATACCATCAACACCACAGGCCTTTTTGGGTTGGAGGGTTTGTATTTTGTCCTGTAGTTCATTCAATGTAATTGGAGAATCCAGTGGGTTCTGGTAGTCTTTAATAGCTGATTCTAAGATTTGTAATTGATCATGTATATGTTTTTGATGTTTGTTCTTTGTTATAGAGCCAAAAAGAGTTGAGAAGTGGTTTATCCATACATCTCCGTTTTGGATAGATAACTCTTCATGTTGTTGTTTGTTTAGTGTTTTCCAATTTTCCCAGAAGTGGTTAGTCTATGGATTCTTCAATTACATTGAGCTGATTTCTGACATGCTGTTCCTTCTTTTTCCGTAGTGTATTTCTGTATTGTTTTAGTGATTCACCATGGTGAAAGCGTAGGCTCAGGTTTTCTGGTCTCTGTTTTTGGTTGGATAGGTTTCTCAATTTCTTTCTTAGGTTTTTGCATTCTTCATCAAACCATTTGTCATTGTTGTTAATTTTCTTATGTTGTCTGCTTGAAATTTTGCACCTTCACTATTACAGTGAAATGTTTTGTCCAGGAAGTTGTTTAAAAGGGATTGCATTTGTTGTTGCCTAATTGTTTATTGGTAGGTTTCGACACTACTTTCCTTCCATCTATAGCATTTCTTAATAGTATGCAGTTTGTTCAGCTTCGATACCTCATGATTGAGTATTGCTCTGTTCAAGTAGACTGTGATTTTGCTGTGGTCTGATAGGGGTGTCAGTGGGCTGACTGTGAACGCTCTGAGAGACAAATTTACAGTAAACATTGCACTCATGAAGGTTTCAAAAGGATAAAGATGGAGGAGAGTGACGGAGTGCGGCATCAGATGACCTGGCCTCCACAGTCCCCCGACTTCAACCAAATTGAGATGGTTTGGGATGAGTTGGACCGCAGAGTGAAGGAAAGGCAGCCAACAAGTGCTCAGCATATGTGGGAAACTCCTTCAAGACTGTAGAAAAAGCATTCCATGTGAAGCTGGTTGAGAGAATGCCAAGAGTGTGCAAAGCTGTCATCAAGGCAAAGGGTGGCTATTTGAAGAATCTCAAATATATTTCGATTTGTTTAACACTTTTTTGGTTACTATATGATTCCACATGTGTTATTTCATAGTTTTTGATGTCTTCACTACTATTCTACAATGTAGAAAATAGTAAAAAATAAAGAAAAACCCTTGAATGAGTAGGTGTGTCCAAACTTTTGACTGGTACTGTACACAGTGCATTCGGAAAGTATTCAGACCCCTTCACATTTTCCACATTTTGTTACGTTACAGCCTTATTCTAAAATGGATTAAATACATATTTATCAATCTACAAACAATACCCCATAATAACTGGGTGCATCCTGTTTCCATTGATCATCCTTGATGTTTCTACAACTTGATTGGAATGAACCGGTGGTAAATTCAATTGATTGGACATGATTTGGAAAGGCACACACCAGTCTATATAAGGTCACACAGTTGACAGTGCATGTCAGAGCAAAAAGCCATGAGGTCGAAGGAATTGTCCGTAGAGCTCCGAGACAGGATTGTGTCGAGGCACAGATCTGGGGAAGGGTACCAAAAAATGTCTGCAGCATTGAAGGTCCCCAAGAACACAGTGGCCTCCATCATTCTTAAATGGAAGAAGTTTGGAACCACCAAGACTCTTCCTAGAGCTGGCCGCCCGGCCAAACTGAGCAATCGGGGGAGAAGGGCCTTGGTCAGGGAGGTGACAAAGAACCCGATGGTCACACTGACAGAGCTCCAAAGTTCCTCTGTGGAGATGGTTGTCCTTCTGGAAGGTTCTCCCATCTCTGCAGCACTCCACCAAACAGGCCTTTATGGTAGAGTGGCCAGATGGAAGCCACTCCTCAGTAAAAGGCACATGACAGCCTGTTTGGAGTTTGCCAAAAGGCACCTAAAGACTCTCAGACCATGAGAAACAAGATTCTCTGGTCTGATGAAACCAAGATTGAACTCTTTGGCCTGAATGCCAAGCGTCACGTCTGGAGGAAACCTGGCACCATCCCTATGGTGAAGCATGGTGGTGGCAGCATCATGCTGTGGGGATGTTTTTCAGCGGCAGGGACTGGGAGAATAGTCAGGATCGAGGGAAAGATGAACAGAGCAAAGTACAGAGAGATCCTTGATGAAAACCTGCTCCAGAGCACTCAGGACCTCAGACTGGGGTGAAGGTTCACCTTCCAACAGGACAACGACCCTAAGCACACAGCCAAGACAACACAGGAGTGGCTTCAGAACAAGTCTCTGAATGTCCTTGAGTGGCCCAGCAAGAGCCCTGACTTGAACCTGATCGAACATCTCTGGAGAGACCTGAAAATAGCTGTGCAGCGACGCTCTCCATCCAACCTGACAGAGATTGAGAGGATCTGCAGAGAAGAATGGGAGAAACTCCCCAAATACAGGTGTGCCAAGCTTGTAGCATCATACTCAAGAAGACTCGAGGCTGTAATCGCTGCCAATGGTGCTTCAACAAAGTACTGAGTAAAAAGTCTGAATACTTATGTAAATTGTGATATTTCAGGGGTTTTTCAGTAAAATCTCTAAAAACCAGTTTTTGCTGCCATTATGGGGTATGTGTTGAGGGTGGAGCCCAAGCTGCATCCCTGTGTCACCCCACAGCTTAGAGGAAATACATCTGTGTGTTTTTATTGCCAATTTTAACTGCACACTGGTTGCTTGTGGGGCTTTGGGAAAACCTGGTTTAGGATTCCATCAACACCACAGGCCTATTTGGGTTGTATTTTGTCCTGTAGCTCATCCGATGGAATTGGAGAATCCAGTGGGTTCTTGTAGTCTTTTAATAGTTGAGTTTAAGATTTGTATTTGATCATGTATATGTTTTTGCTGTTTGTTCGTTGTTATAGAGCCAAAAAGTTTGGAGAAGTGGTTTACCCATACATCTCCGTTTTGGATAGATAACTCTTCGTGTTGTTGTTTGTTTAGTGTTTTCCAATTTTCCCAGAAGTGGTTAGAGTCTATGGATTCTTCAATTAAATTGAGCTGATTTCTGACATGCTGTTCCTTCTTTTTCCGTAGTGTATTTCTGTATTGTCTTAGTGATTCACCATAGTGAAGGCGTAGGCTCAGGTTTTCTGAGTCTCTGTGTTTTTGGTTGGATAGGTTTCTCCATTTCTTTCTTGTTTTTGCATTCTCCATCAAACCATTTCTCATTGTTATTAATATTCTTAGGTTTTCTGCTATAATTTATTTTCTTTGATATGTTATATCAAATATACTGTTCAGGCATCCTACTGCTAAGTTTACACCTTCAATATTGCTGGGAAACATTTTGTCCAGGAAGTTGTCTAGGAGGGATTGGATTTATTGTTGGCCAATAGTTTTTTGGTAGGTTTCTACACTACCCTCCTTCCATCTATAGCATTTCTTAATAGTATGCAGTTTGTTCAGCTTCGATACCTCATGGTTGAGTATTGCTCTGTTCAAGTAGACTGTGATTTTGCTGTGGTCTGATAGGGGTGTCAGTGGGCTGACTGTGAACGCTCTGAGAGACTCTGGGTTGAGGTCAGTGATAAAGTAGTCTACAGTACTACTGCCAAGAGATGAGCTATAGGTGTACCTACCATAGGAGTCCCCTTGAAGCCTACCATTGACTATGTACATACCCAGCGTGCGACAGCTGCAGGAGTTGTGACCCGTTTTTGTTGGTTATGTTGTCGTAGTTGTGCCTAGGGGGGCATATGGGGGAGGGAATGCTGTCACCTCCAGGTAGGTGTTTGTCCCCCTGTGTGCTGAGAGTGTCAGGTTCTTGTCCAGTTCTGGCGTTTAGGTCACCACAGACTAGTATATGTCCCTGGGCCTGGAAATAGTTGATCTCCCCCTCCAGGATGGAGATGCTGTCATCATTAAAGTATGGGGATTCTATAGGGGGGATATAGGCAGCACACAGGAGGATATATTTCTCTGTTGAGATAATTTCCTTATTAATTTCTCAGCAAATGTAAAATGCTCCTGTTTTTATTAATTTAATAGTGGGTTAGGTCTGCTCTATACCAAATTAGCATACCCCCTGAGTCCCTTCCCTGTTTCACACCTGGTAGTTTGGTGGATGGGACTACCAGCTCTCTGTAACCTAGAGGGCAACCAGTGGGTCCATCTCCTCTATACCATGTTTCTTGTAGGATGACAATGTCTGTATTTCTGATTTTATTTTGTGAAGTCCGGGTTCTTGCTCTGTAAGCCAAAGGCAGATGACCTCAGACCTCTCTCTTTCTCCCCCCCCCCCCCCCCACCCCCCGGTACCCCAACAGCGTATCAAGGAGGGCAGTGTGGTGGACAATGTGAAGGTGATCTCTGTAGGAGACCACATAGACTGCATCAACGGGAAGAGCATTGTGGGAACACGTCACTACGAGGTGGCTCGAATGCTGAAGGAGCTCCCGAAAGACCAGACGTTCACCCTCAAACTGGTGGAGCCCATGAAGGCCTTCGGTGAGTGGACAAGGGGATGTTCAGTAACATTTTTTATAGAGATTAAAGCTACATTATGAACTGCATTATTGCTCCTATTCACATTGGTTGGTCTTTGGTGAGGGGAACGGACCTAGGGTAGGGGTCTCCAACCGTGTAGAGAGTTGTAGGGTGTGCAGGCTTTTATTCTAGCCCAACAAAGATGTGTACGGATGAAGACCTTTTGTGAGGCCCCTTTTGATAAGTTGATCTTGAACCATTTTATTTTATTTTGTGCTGAACAGAGATGCTGGAGCCGAGGTCGAAGGGCGCCAAGCCAGCCAGTGAGAATAAGATGGGGACAGGGCGAGGGACTCTGAGACTGCGCGCCAAAGGACCTGCTACCGTAGAGGAAGTGGTGAGCGTCTGCTTCGTAGTTTAGATGTCAGGATCCCACTGTCGCTAAGAGAAGGCCCAGTAGGTCACAGTGTATATTTCTCCATTCCAGCCAACAGAGTTTGAGGAGAAAGCGGTGAAGAAGGTGGATGACCTACTGGAGAGTTACATGGGTATCAGAGACACAGAACTGGGTGAGTAGACTACCCTGGATTTGATTTCAAAAGTAGTGTACGCATATCGAACTTAAATTAACGTTGATGTCTAAAGATGGGGAAGTGAGCAGAAGACACATTGTTTTAAACATGAACATGTTGTACAACTCCCCCAGCTAACCAACCCTCCCCCCCTCTCTCCTCTCTCCCCCCCTCTCTCCTCTCCTCTCTCCCCCCCTCTCTCCTCTCCTCTCTCCCCCCCCTCTCTCCTCTCCTCTCTCCCCCCCCTCTCTCTAGCGGCGACCATGGTGGAGGTGGGTCGGGACAAGAAGAACCCTGATGAGTTTGCCATGGCTCTGGACGAGGCTCTCGGAGACTTCGCCTTCCCCGACGAGTTCGTGTTCGACGTCTGGGGCGCCATTGGAGACGCCAAACAGGGACGTTTTTAATGTTTTAACTGATTCCCCAGATCCCATAGCCTGGTCCGAGACGACACAAACAGATCTGGGACCAGGCTACCAATTCCCCTGAGTTCCACAGCCTCATCCAGCCAACTGGACAAATATCAGCCAGTAGAGAAAGAGGGGTGGGTTTTTTTTAGGGGTAACACTATATATTGCCAGGGACCTCACGATACGATATTATCATGATACTTAGGTGCCGATACCATATGTATTGCGATTCTCATGATTCTATATGTATTGTGATTCCATACTGTGATTTTATTGCGATTCGATGTTCTAAACATCTTGCTCATCATATGTTTGCTGCAGAGGGACAAGAGAGAGCCATGAGAAAATTAGTTTGGATCAATCATGGAAATAAGTGCTCACAATAAAATTAAAAAAAGATGGAGAACAAACTATAGGATGGAAAATACCTGAGTTTTGGCGCAGGTACAGACGACTAGCACTAGCTAACGTTCCCTTTTTGAAAAATAAAAATGAATACTTGGGAGTCAAAGTATCTCCATAATATGGTCCAAAATAATATTTGCGATATTTAACTATCGATTTCCCCCCCCCCCCATTACTATTATATATACACACACCCTCAAAGACGATCACTCTTATTGATGAGTAATGTCCTACTCAACCTCTGTCTGTCTGCGTCCCAAATATCACATTAGTCATTTAGCATCGACCCGCTTCTTATCCAAGAGCCCCACCCTTACACGCTTCCAGGGGTTTAGTGG